TGTGTATGGTGGGATAGAAACTTTGGTTGGGTGCTGATTGATCTCAGCTGCATCCTAAGGAATGTAAGTAGGCGGGAAGAATAGTATATAATACACAATGTTAGAAAGATCAGATCAGATCATTTTGGCTGCTGCTGTGATCTCCAGATGCGCATCTGTGAATAAAAGGTAATTATAATTAAGTGCACTTTGGTATTTTGTGGTGTTTTGTGACTGAATATTCTTTCCATCATCTGAAACCCGATGAGGAAGTGGTTGACTTCCGACACTCAGCATCCATACAATAATAATAATAATAATAAAGACCAGGATAACATAGTATGGATACTGACTCAGCATCCATACAATAAAAACTAGAGAAAGTAATTTTCTGGAGAAAATGCGTATGGATGCTGAATGCTCAAAGATTGTCCTAAAAATGCTGAACATTTTTACACGTGAAAGGTTTTTCTAACTGAAAGTGTACTGAAGTAGAATTTTCCCATTCATTTGAATGGGACAAAAGTTTTAAAATAAAGCTAAATATTTCAAAAGTATGAATTTAAGAACAATTCTGAAGAGAAGCATGAATGTCCTTGAAGAGCTGAACATTTTGATAGCTGAAATTATGCTGAAGTAGAAGTTTCCCATTCATTTGAATGGGGCAAGATTTTCAAAATAAAGCAAAATATTTCAAAAGTATGAAGTTTAGAATATTTCTAAATAGAAGCATGAATGTCATTGAAGAGCTGAACATTTTGATACCTGAAATAGTTCAAAGTATCCTGAAGTAGAATTTCCCCCATTCATTTGAATGGGGCAAAATTTGCTGAAAGAAAGTTAAATATTTTTAAAATTATAAATGGTACAAAAACAAATAAAGAAGCCGGAATGTCCCAGAAGACCAACATTTTGATACCTGAATGGCTTTTCTAGCTGAAAGTATAGTGAATTTATTAAGATGTGAGCATTTTCCCATTGGTCCCCACAAAGTAGGTAAAAGAAGTAGGGTTGTGTGTATGTGTGGGTGTGTAGGTGTTTGTGTGTCTGTATGTATGTGTGTGTATGAGAAAGAAAGAGTAGTCCTACACAATGAATAATACTAGAGTGTGGCTATTGAAATGAGGCATAAAATGCAAATGGAAATTATACAAAAACCATAAAAAATATCAAAAAGCTGTTTATGGTATGAATAGCTGAAGAGTTGCTGAATAGTTACTAGTTGAAATGGTGGTTTTAGCTGAAGGTATGTTGAAGTTATTAAGAAGTGAATATTTTTTCCATTCATTTGAATTGGGCAAAAGTTGCTGAAAAAAAGCTAAATATGTTAAAAAGTATAAATGTTACAAAAAAGAAAAATACAAGCAGGAATATCCAAAAAGAGCTGAACATTTTGATACCTGAATGGCTTTTCCAGCTGAACGTATGCTGAACTTATTAAACTTTTCCCATTGGTCCTCATAATGTAGGTAAAACGAGTAGTGCTGTGTGTGTGCAGGTGTGTATATAACTGTGTAGGTGTGTGCGTATGTATGTCAGAGTAGTCCTACCCACTGAGGAATGCTAGTGTGGCTATTGTAATGAAACATAAAATGTAAATGGTAATTATGCAAAAACCGCAAAAGATATCAAAAAGCTGTTTACATTATGAATAGCTGAAGAATTGCTGAAAAGGGAACTCTAGAATGTGGCTGCTGACTCAGCATCCACACAATTAAAATCTAGTTGAACTTTATAGCCCATAATGACAAACAGAAGTATTCAGACTCTACTGTGGCAAACTGTGTATCTTGGACATAGTTTAGAAAGACACAACTGTGTATATACGGCCCCAAAAATTATGCTCCTGGTCAGGATGAAAACCAAACCAGGAAGTCCAAGGAACTGTCTGTTAACCTCTGTGATAAAACTGCAGTGAGGCATAGAATTTAGCAAGGATATGAAACCATTTCTAAAGCTTTCAGTGTTCCCAGTGGCCTCAGTTATTATGAATTAGGAGACGTTTGCAACCACTTTCTACAAAGTACTGTGTTAAGGATCTGAATGAATCAGATGTGTGCACAAAGTGAAGTGCTCTGAATACCTTCTGAAACCACTGTGGCTTTGTATTTCTCTTTCTGCCTGGTGCTGCCACATACAGGTACACAACATACAGTACATGGTTCATAACAGATCTCAGAGCCCCGTTCTTCTTGGCAGTCAGTTAAAACAGACTCAATTAAAAGCACAATAAGCATCTGAAAGTACCGACACAACCATTCACTTTTCTTCATAAGGAGATGGTGCTGGGTGCAAAGCACCAAGACAAAAAAATCCTGGGCTTAATTTATAGCAATATCCCCTTTTCCCCCAGCCATGATTTCCCTTTGGATTCCATCAGCAAAACCCAGATTCTTATCTACTGTAGCTCAAACTCTGTAGTCCTGACTTTCTATCTTATATCCACACTACATCCATTTTTCGTGATAAATCTGTTTTTCCTGGTATCTCAGCAGTTTCTCCCCTGTTGCCACTGGGCCTCTAACATGCCTCATTTATAATCAGCCCTGGCTTATAAATGAGACTGGGAACTACCAAGCTAATGCGGGGAAGAATGCGATAGATTTAACTGGCCTACTAAGAGGAATGAGGCAGCACTGATGCGTTAGCATGCGTCTGGGTGGAGTGTCACTTTGATCTCATAAATCGGCCCACCCTCCACCAGCTGTACTGCCGTGATGGTGACAGGCATAAGCCCAGATACATAAACACAAATGCGAACACATTCTATCTTAGATTAAAAGGAGGGGGGACCTTGCAGGGCCATTCATTTTGGCTTTGAAGTCACTAGGATTTATCCTGTAGAATCTTGCTGAAGTTAATTAATGAAAATAGGGTATAGTAACACCTATTTATTCTCCAGCTACATGTATGGGTTATCCTCTCCTGCTTCTTTCAGTCCAAACTAGTAAGGCCAACAGGATATTCTGCTTTGTGTTGGACATGGGTCTAACACATATTTGCATTAGACTCCTCATACCTGATTACCAAATAAAATTGCCCAGAGATCTTATAGCACAGAAGCACTCAGAAACTTCCTGAACCTAAATACTGTTATGTGTATTGAAATCACTTTCTCCAAAACAAGCTGGTCATTGATGATAAAAGCAGGTTCATGTTGATGTAGTGCTAGATTGATATCTGATAATAAACTAACAACATTGGGTAAATCAAGCTTAGCAAATTATGCTTACTGTACAATCATTCATACAAGATCAAAACAGCAAAATAACAAGGTCAAAATAACAATTATAGAACATATGGGGCTACAATTCATTAGCTGTGAATGGGCTGCTTTGATGCTTTGGTTCCTTAACTAATTCACAAACAATGGCATTAGATGCTCTTTCTTGCCACATTGTCAGAATTATTCCTCCAGCTTTCATATAGTGTCCTACTGTGCTGGTATGATGGATTCAGCTAAAGACAAATGATACTGAAATTTTTTTTTTTTTGTGATGTGTGTTTTAACAGTATTTTTGAAGCTACTTTAAGACATCACAGGAATAATTTTAATTTCAATACATCTAAGAATTAAGTATTAATACAAAGCAACATACTGAGCAGGAGATGACCATTTTTTGTGTTGTTTTTAGCTGCAACTGTACTAGGCCACACACCTGTCTTGAAGATCTCGTATCGGATGGAGAAACCTGCTCCATGGGTCTCATAGTCAGACACAAACTTGATGAAAAGCTGGTTTCCAGAGGAGACGACTGGAGAAGGGGCAATTTTTCCACAGTACTTCCCCACCAGCTGACCGCTCTCATCCACACCATCCCGCACCTCCACGTAGTCATATCTGAGCAAGACATGAATGAGACAAATGAAGAGACGCAGTGTCAAACACATCGCTTTACAAAACCTGTTCTTTTTTAGGTTTGACATTCATTTGATTTCTTTGTCCTGTTGAAATAAATTAGGTTTCTGTCTATGTTTATACTGTGCATGCACGGTGATAAACATGCACACAAACACACTTATATCCATACTCAGAGGAGCACATAAACTCAAAACAACACAGCATGTTGTGCAGGTAATGTAGTGGAAATAAAACACTGTGTACTAATGAGGTCTCAGGTTAAAACTCAGAGAACAGGTGGGCAGGTGGTGCCTTCATTATATCGACCTGGCGCACATACACACTGCGGAGGTTTGTACTCCCAGCAGCATTGAGATCAGGCTTATGTAACAGCTTTACAATAACTACTGAATTTCACCTGAACATTTGTTTGTCTCATGTTTGAGCACAAGAACACTGTCAATGTGTGTCTGTTCTGCGAGTCAGTATAGGAGCTGAAAGTGATTATATTCTGGCTTTTGGCATAGGGTGGTCAAATAGACAGAGCAGTTGTTAAAGCTATTAAACACAAACACATCACCACCATATTCAGTTTCAGGGCCACAGCTACTGAGGGGAGCAACCCCCTAATTGAATCGGCACAGAATTGGGAGCAGGAGAGGTAACAGCTTTGAAATTATACTGAAAACAGGAGTCATGATGCACACACACACACACACACACACACACACACACACACACACACATCTTAACATAGGTTAACCTGACTTCACTGAACTGATGATAAAATTGAAATTAAAAGTCTGACCACCCTCTAGCTCTTTGTTTTCAGACAGTTGTTAATAGTGTACCTTGAATACATTCAAACTGTGGTTTATACTTGTGCCTGGATATTTATGTGTGCATGATGACTCTTCCATGTTATCTTTTGACTGTGAGCGACAGGGCGAGTGCCTCTCTAAAATCAAATTTGGGGTCAGGTTTCCATCATTCCTAACTGCTCATAATGCCATTCCCACCATGTTTCTAGTTATGCAGGCCACTTATCCACCATGTTCCTGTCTCAGTGCTAATGACCTGTAGTGGTTTTTCATCTTATCAGAAACCAGATGAAAAAAAGTGCTATTAACACACAGCAAATCCATAAATCAATTTGTACAGCAGGTTTGCAGGCACATTCAGTCCCACAGGTGCTCTGTCTCAGAAAATGTGTGACCCCTGGGCAAAACTGCCTTTTTTCATAATTTTGCTTGATTCCCAAATTACTAATATAACATTACGGCTCTTTACAACTCACTTCACAAGATTTCACACAAGAAGGTGATTTAAACTTTGAATGATGAGTCAGGGTGGACTAAGTCTACCCAATACTCAGCCTTGCTCAGAGCACCAACAGATGTGTTGTGGCCGGGGGCATTTAGATCAGTCTCATAAATTATTCTCATAAATGATTAACCACCAATTTAAAAATTTTAGTTAATAATTATAAATATCAAAATAAATGGCAGTGATTTAAAGCAATTCAATGCTGTTATAATTATATTACAACCAGATTGATAACACCAATGGAATAGCAATGTAATAAAAGTAAATAGGCAGAGACTGGCCTCAGATAATATTAGAGCAAAAACTGCAACAATCACTACCAGTCACTCAAATATAACGGTTTATTATACAGCACAGCATCAATCATACAGCCAGTACTATGAGAGTTAATAAACACAAGGAACAAATGATAAAGTCTTGGATAGACTGGTGCAGCTATGTACAAGTGTGTGCACAGATCGGTATGTATGTGATGTGTGTGTAGTGAATCAGAAGCAGCGGTGGTTCTAGTTTCACACCCGACCCTGCTTTGCAGTGAGTTTTCTTTCCCAATTGTTCCCTATTTGTGCAATCAATTTCTCTGCTTAGCAGTTCATCTCTCCTGTCCATCTTTTAGTTCCCTGCTCACACAAGAAAGCATCAATCTTTCTGTGGCACTGCTCTGTTCTATCAGCAGACTTATAATTCACCTTAGACCCCCTGTCTGCAACTGCCAAAAGCTAAGCACTGCCAAAGGCCTAAAAATGGATAGAGTGATGCATCACTGAGATGAAGAAGGAGAGAAGAGCAAGCTGCAGTAAAGCTGAAGGAGCTGAGCAAGTATTTGTGTGAGTGGTTTTGCTGTTTGTGTCTGCATATGCAAAATATATATTTGCATATGCACCTTCAAGCAAGTGTGTATACATTATACAGTATAGGATGTAATCATCGCTGTACGCATGAACTGAAACCAGAGAGCTGTTGTCATTTTGCTTGTCCTCACAGACTTGTTATTCACCATCCAAACTAAAGAACTGACTTATTGTTGTTTCTATTTCCACTCCTCATATCTGCAGAAGAGTTGTTTATTGCATTTTTACCCTGGCCCATCACCAGCTCAGATAGCTCTCATAGAGGCAGCGCAGTGGGAGAGAAGCTGCAGATGGAAAAGAGAATACACCCAGGGGGTCCTCACTGCGCTCTTTGTGCGAGGAAAGAAAGAAAGAAGAGACCTCATTCTCTAAAATATCTCTATTTGTGTCTAAGTGACTGGTGTCAACCAGAACTGCAATGGATACACATTCCATTCAAGCTTTTATCATCTGAAAGATATTATGGGAAATGCTTGGTGGGGCAGTTTGGTGCCTCAGAAAGGCTGTGCCGTTACCAGCCATGTTAAATGTAGCTCTAATCCATTTTGTTAAGCACCTGTGGAGACTCAGTGATAGGGCGATGAGTTCTTACGGAGAACAGAGAATGGTTAACAACCTCTAGGATCATAAAAGAGAACACAAACACCACCTACCTTTAAGGCCAGGCTGGCCCCACTTTCCAGGGTCTGTCTCTTGACTCTGCCCTCCTGACCTGTCAAGTTAAACTAAATGCCTCTTCTCAGGGGTCTGTCTGGTGATTCTTTTTTATGTTGTGTCACTGCTGCTGTTTTTCTTATTTCTCATGACAAAACAATCCAGTAGAGCACACACACACACACACACACACACACACACACACACACACACACACACACACACACACACACAGACAGTTATGCACACCCAGTAGGCTGCTTACCACAGTGCTAATAGTGAGAGTGGTTTGCCAATCCAGTGGGGAAATTAAAGGGGAAAAGGGAAAGGTAGGGGTTGGGGGGGTGGGGTGAATGTAATTCTCAAGGACCTTCGCTTCACCAACTGAAATGCATTAGCTTGCCTTCTTTCTTCAGGCACAGAGAGAAAGCAAATCTCTAGTGTCAAACAAGAACATTAACTGTCCTTGCAAAGCCAAAGGGAAGGCAACAAACCACTGGCCTAACAATATAATGGTGAGATTGCCTGAAGCTTTCCCATGGAAATAATCTGTCCTCCTTCTATAAATGTCCGTTTGATATGGATCTACAAAGCCAGTACTATCTGAGGCAATGGAATAGCACTAAGGTTGTATAAGCCTCATACAATTGGTTAGATTTTATAATCAGTCCATTTATAAGCTCAAGCATGCTGTGGAAAACACTTTAACTAGAGTGTTTTCTTTGCTATCATTCTCTGCGGCTCAGCGATATATGGAATAAATGCCTGATGCTTTTCCCTAGCATTTCTTTCTCTATGTGTGTCAGAATATACCCTGCTACTGCACGTAAACATGTCACCTACACCATGTTAATACATCTCTGGGTAACACACGTGAAAAGGCATAAACAACATACTAGGGACAGCCCTGGGAGGCAAACTGTCAAACGCTGCCACTTGGGGCTCTGGTAAAACATCAGTAATGTTTGTACAATGGGGCCCAAGACAAGCTGACGTCCAGCTTACTCTTTTTGAGCCCGGAGGGGACATATCGTTGAAATAAAATGATCTTTCTTTCTCTACGTTTCCTCTCATACAGCCTCCTCTCTTGCATATGACATTCATTACTTCCAACTAGAATACCCTCTTTTCTTGGACCCAGTCTGGCTGTAGTGACCCTAGCATCAGAACAATCAGGTCTACATCTATGTTCTTAGCTAAAAACATTAACCCTTACTATCACTAAGATTTTCATCATAGGGGAAGCCCTTGCCATTAAAACAGATGCTTGACTGCAAGGCATAAAGTCAGGAGATTTGTAAGCTATTACCCTCTCCGCTGATATGTCTTTATTTCTGATTCATAGAAAATGGTTGCAGGAGGCCTCTGAATGTGAAAACCACCCAGTTGGATAAACAACGAACCAGTCAGAACTGATGGGATCAGAGGTGGTTCCATGTCGGTAAGGGTGGAAAGAGATGATTGCTTTGCTTGTCACCACACTGCCCCATGAATGGAAGCTGGACCTGTCCAATAGGCCTCTCTGGGTGTCACCGCCACATGGTTTGAATCAGCTCTATCATATTTTTAGCTGATGTGGCTGTTTCTGATTTTGTGGCAGCCTTGGCTATATATTTGTAAAGCATATTCACTTTCCTTAACAGCAATTATCATCAGCATTGATGGATTTAGCCAGCCTCCATCCATTAGCTTTCCTAATTATGCTGCCAAGAGATCTGCTGTTGCCAACAATCAGATTAATGAATTTGGCTATTTAGACTCAATTACTGCATCCACCCTCCCTCTGCAACATGCACAATAATCCTTTATTCTGAAATATGAGCACAGCTGACAGAATGAGAATTCTGCCTGAAGGGGGGGATCTTTTCTGCTCCCCACAGCACAGACACACAGCCACACTGGCGGAGCTGCAATGAGGGTACAAAAAGAGCGGCCCTCCGTGCTTCACAGAGAGTCCTGGATCTGTGGTCTGTGGTGACGATTCTTCAGAAATCCCCAGGCCGGCTCTGCTGCTCTGTGCAGGCGCACGCAAAACACGGTGTCTCGGCGGCGGACACAATACCGGCAGGCCCAAATCCCCATCTCGAGGACATTACACAGGACGCTTTACAGGAGATCATACACGTTCACCCATTCACACACACATTCACACACCGATGTGTGCTGCTT